AATTGTGCGTACGCAAGTTTTATAAATCCGACCCCTGGTGAAGCATTAATTCTTATCTATACTTTGACCCACAATAGTCAAATAAATTGAATCAGTCTGTTTGAACTATAGCTGTACACTGCAGGCTTTTGAGTTAGCTGCTAATAAATCACTTCATAAAAAGCAAACCTTGTGATTCTGGTGTTTTAGCAAGATGTAAATCTCACTTTTATCGCTCACTTGCAAAATAAGGGTTCGTATGAGTCCAACTCTTAAAAATCTYGGAGACATTTTTGGTGAAGACTGTTTTAATTATCACCTTTAACAAGTCTTTAGAGCACCCTTCATCTCGGTGACACAGCTCTGTTTTTACGTGACTGTRGTGAAGATTTAAGCCTCTCTTTGTGACTAAAAGGGATGACATGTCCCCCACAAGGCCCACATGCCTACAGCTGTATGTCCCCACAACATGACTTTTTATCGTCYAATTTTCATTTCATTTCACTTGGTTCACAGCAGGTGTTGGAGCAGATTTGTGTGTATGTGCCTGTGGGCATGGTTTTGTTACCTGGTGGGGACACTTTTTGACCATTTTCTCAACACACACAGCCTGGCGAGGACTGGCTGTTCCTAATGGGGAAAACTGCAGCCTTGTCTCCATCGGGGGAAATACCGTTGGTGGTTCAGGGGTTTGGTTTAGTACTAAGTTGTGAATTGGGTTTAGGCTAGGTTTAGGTTCAGATATGTATTGAAGTGATTAGTTTTAAGGTAAAGAGTCAGGGTTAAGTTCTAGAAATGACCGGTAAATGAATGGAAGTCAAAGCAAAGTCCCCATAAGTATATAAAACATGTGTGTGCACAAGCATTTTTTTCCCCAATGGCAACAATGATGAACTCTTTAAAAAAAGTTACGCGTCAACTCAGTGCTGGAACAGTTTGTGACTTTCGATGTGTTCCTGTGAGGAGGTGAGATTTCCAAAAATGGGTGTACCTTGAGAAAACAAGTTAATTCTTACCTATACTTTGACCCACAAAAGTCAATATTCAGATATTCAGTTCTGATTTCCACTGAAGTGGCAAAAAAAAAAAAAAAAAAAAAAAAAAAACCTTTTAGGTTGCATATGCAGTGAAGCCTAGAAAAAAAAACTATTCATTATTCTGTATCTATTCCAAATGTGCTAATTTTAGCTTAAAATTGAAGCAGTTTACACAAACACATTTTTTAAATAATCTCTGGAAAATTCACACAAATAAAGTTATAAAGAAATAAAACAACAAAGCTCAAATTTCTAAACGAATATAT